TGGGCCTCAGCCATGGAAACATTCCGGGGATTCCAACAATCGTTTTTTGCAAGGCCTTCTGCACGGCCTCATGGCTTCTCTTGCCGTTTGAAAAGTCATGAAAAGAGAGAGCATTGGAACCATTATTATACTCGTATAGCATAAAACCCGGCACAGTTTGGATTATGGCTCCATCTATCCTGCCTCGCACCTTTGCAATTCACTTTTTCTTTCAGGTAGTTTGTTATCAGATGCCTGAGACAGAACTGCAGCCCCATAAGTCAGAGGCCTGCTGTTAGCTGGCTGGGCATGTCCAGAGACAACTATTTACGGTGGGTTACAGGGCCAATGTCACATCTCTGGAAGAATATAAAAATTGGTTTCTTCAAAACAAACTTTTAATGATGAACAGGTATATTTCAATAAAGATGGAAAAATTAACAATAATTGCTTTTAAAGCCAGGTGCCATACATGAAGGAAGAGGGACAGTCCCTCTTCCAGGGTCTATCTATGCCACTTGATTTTCTGCCTTCAGTTGATTCAAAAGCAGGCAATGATCATTAATCATAGAGGAATACCTTCCTGTGGCAGGTGGGGTCTATTTCATAGCTGACATCTTTTATGCTTGGTACATCCATCCATCTGTTAGGATCATTAGTTAAAATTCAATACAAGATGTATTTATTAAAAGTGGAATTAAAATAGATCAGATACTGAGCACATGACTCTAAGGTATATAATTTTCATATTTTATATATGACCGTTGGTAAACATGCTTACCAAATAATTACTACTGGTACATTTTAAAAATCAGTGAAGTTTTATTTTAAAGTTTACTTTCAGAAACACTTTAAAATTTCTAACGTGCTAATAATTTTTAATACATAGACACATTCATTAATTCCCTTCTTCAAAAGTGTCTTGTTTGGGTCACATTAAAGCTGGCTTGGTGCCTATAGATCAGTGGCTAGGGCACCAGCCACATACATGGGAACTGGCAGGTTCGAACCCAGTCGGTCCAGGCCTGCCAAACAGCAATGACAACTACAACAACAAAGTAGTCAGGCATTGTGGCAGGCGCCTGTAGTCCTAGCTACTTGGGAGGCTGAGGCAAGAGAATTGCTTAAGCCCAAGAATTTGAGCTTGCTGTGAGCTATGATGTCACAGCTCTCTACCGAGAGTGACAGGGTGAAACTCTGCCTAAAAAAAGAACCCAAAAGAACAAAAAAACTTTTAATGCAAGAATGAAGCTTTCTCATTCTAATGCTACAGCAGAGATGGCTGCTGCTTCCTTGGGTCTCACCATGCGGCAGGCTTACCTGATGGAACTTCAAAGTGAGATAAGTAATACGGAGTTAACTTTTCGTGTGCATGTTTTGGGAAATAAACAGTGGAGCTCTGTTTGGAGAAGTCAATAGGAGAGGACAGAAGAATAGATGGGGTGGGGGCGGGCACTTGGGTTCTAGGATTCTGGAAGAAAGGACAGGCCTGAATATTCCAGCACAGTAAAAAGCTTAGTTATAGAATCGAAAGCAAGAGGTGGTCACTCATGGAAGGGAAAATGGTTAAAAAATAAGACAGGAGAGGAAGACCATTACCAACTTATGTCACCTTGTAGATCGTGTTAAAGAATTTGCCTAGGATTGTAAATGTGGATCTTTTAAAACAATAATTCCTAGTATATGGATTCTTTACATATGTCCACGCTTTGCTCCTATGTCCTTTCTGCCTTGTATACTACAGACCTCACGGAAGATTAGGGGATTATTTTTTAAATCTTAATTGCTTTCCTTAAACATATGGAGATTTAACACATCCATAGTGAGCTCTGAAATGTTAATTGTGAGCGAATTATTTTTCACGGGGTTTATAAAGGACCTAAGTTAATGGAATTTGAATTTTTAGGAAAGTTGAGGTCTGTCTTCTCACTAATCCTAGGAAACATCGTGTATTTTTTAAAACTAGGAATAGGAATAATATGCTTGATATAACTAAATACATGATAGAAAGTATGAGATAATTGATCTTTCTTCTTTTTTTTTTTTTTAGACAGAGTCTCACTTTATCGACCCTTGGTAGAGTGCTGTGGCATCACAGCTCACAGCAACCTCCTACTCCTGGGCTTAAGTGATTCTCTTGCCTCAGCCTCCCGTAGTTGGGACTACAGGCGCCCGCCACAACTCCCAGCTACTTTTTTGTTGCAGTTTGGCCGGGGTTGGGTTTGAACCCACCATCCTCAGTATATGGGGCCGGCGTCCTACTCACTGAGCCACAGGCGCTGCCTGGTGATTTCTATATTCTCTATTACTAGATTTTAAAAAATTAACATTCCCAGGCGGCACCTGTAGCTCAAAGGAATAGGGCACCGGCCCCATATGCCAGAGGTGGTGGGTTCAAACCCAGCCCCAGCCAAAAACTGCCAAAAAAAAAAAAAAAATAATAAAATAAAGAGTAACATTCCTTTATGTAGTGTAAATTATTAGAATCAAAATCATCATTAAAAATGTCCATTTTTAAGCAGGTAGAAGTAAATATATAAGAAGGCTGACATTTTTAGTTTATTTATTTTTATAATACTAAGTTTGTTAGTCTTATTTACTAAGTGAGTAATTGAATCTCCATGTAATGTTAAATGAAAAGATGCAGTTTTGTCCCACATGTGCGTGTAATCACGCCAAGCAAACAGAAAACATCAGACCAAATGCCATGCAAAAACAATAAATATTTCAAACTATGTTACTATGGTACTGCTGCACTTATACTCAGGAAGATGCAAATTATATGGCTTCGACACTGACTTTGTTAAAGGCTTCATTTAGGGGCTTTCTGTCTTTATTTAATATCACAGTGGTTATTGCTTAGCTATAGTAATATTTAGTATCAATGAGGAACTATAGTTGGGAACCACAGGAGGTCAAACATGTTTAGACTAACTCAGGAGATCAGCACAGTGGGAGCGTGTCTGAAGTCGTGGTCTCGTATTAGAGTTCAACTGGGTTAATAAGATGTTTGCATTGACTAATCTCATACCTTCCACCCAAAGGTATGTGCTATATTCCGGGGAGCAGATCTTCACTGTGCCTATTGTATGCTCCAACTGTTAGGAATAGCCATGGCATATGATTGCTGAACTGAAAAACACAGTGTATTTAAAGGCTTTGGAGTCTTTGTTAACATTATCATCAAAATAGAATTAGATTAAATTTTAGAGCGGCAACTAGCATTTGACACAACTTATTAGAAATTAGCCCATCTGAGACTAATCTCAGGGACATTCCTGACCTTGTTAAGGGAAAATGAGAGGTTTGGGATATTATTGATACAATAATTAAATATACTGTGAAACCTCCATAGTTGACCACCTCCCTACATTGACCTTTTCATTGTAGTCTCTTGGGTGGTCAACTTACAGAGGTTCTACTGTAGACATATTATGCAGTGTGTTCTCTGTGTAGATGGCATGAAACCTATCTCTGATTCATTAGTTTATTAAACACATTGAGTGCGTGTACCGTGGTTTCTCCATATTTACAGTTTGACATTTTGCAGTTTCACTTACCTGCCCATCAGCTTTGGGTTAGAAATATTACAGTATTCACATCACTTCTATTACATTATATTGTTACAGTTATTCTATTTTATGATTAGTTATTGTCAATCTCTTACTGTGCCTAATTTATAGATTAAACTTTATCATAGGTATATATGTGTAGAAAAACACAGTATATACAGGACATGGTACTAACCAGGATTTCAGGATTCCACCAGTAGAGCCCCGAAATGAGAGAGGACTGGGGTACAGGAGGTGCTTGGAATAAATCAGTAAGCAAAACAAAAAGTTTTCTGTCATCCTGGAAGTAGGATTACAACCCTACAAATTAACTGAGGATGAAACATGAAATAGGAATATGGAATTTGGGCACACTTACATTTCTATGAAGTAAAAATGATTTAACATCTATAGTTGTAGATTCCTTAATAATTATTATATTTACTATAGCCTGTGTAAATGCACTTACTTAGCTTACTGGTGAACATGAGATCTGCAGATATTTAGATCATCATTTGTATTTCCTGAATCCACTGTGAGTTGTTTATGTTCCCAAATATTTTAGCTCTTCACATTATCAGTTTGCAAACATTTGTGTAGCAATATATACTTTTCAAAGTTGGAAAAGCTTTCTTTTTGTGATTGTTTTACTTTCTACGATAGGTGTTATAATTTGAAATTCAGACATACTTCACACAAAGATATCCAAAGTTTATCCCACCTCAAAAAGTGGACAGTGTAGAGGGTAATACACTTAAAGAACAGGCATATGTTTTGTTTTAGATTTTTCGTTTTCCATTTCTTATTTCTGCTTCATTCAAATGGGTTTCTCCATATGTCCAAGATCTGACTTCCTTTTCTTTTTCATATAGGGAGTGGTTGGTAATAGCTAAGTAATATACAATATTTCTATCTTACTATTTAATTGGATTAATCTCACTTCAAGAGGTAAAGGTTATAGTTCATTGATAGTGATGAAATAATTGATGTGGCTTTTATACATATAATAGCAATGAACATGTACAGTAGATACATTGCATGGTGTATTTAACAACACTCAAGAGTAAGATGGGAGTTCAGTCTTTCCTGATGAAGATACACCTGAGTGCATTTAGAGAAAATTTGGTTCTGCAAGCTTGGAGGGAGTAATTGCTATTCAACAGAAATCAGCTAGCTTTGCATATCAGTAAAATACACACACATACTCTTATCTATTTTCTGAGTGCTCTGGAACTGATATCAAAATAGCAAATATATATTTATGAGAACTAGCAATGGTGTATTCCTTTCAATCATCTGAACTCAATGTAATTATGAAATTAACTTTGGTTTTATGTGGAAAATGTTAACTTCCTAATCTAGTGAAGATAGAATAAAACCCCTAATTTTGTTTCAGGCTACCGAGATTTTATATCCACATTTTGTACCCCGAGTGCCATGCCATTAATTATCTTTATTGCTCCTTTCTAGATGGAAGACTGTATTTGAAAACTACTGTCATGTACTGAATCTTTCCTGTTGAAGAAATCCATGTTAAAGAGCGTTGCAGTCACATGTTTGTCGTGGGAAAGTTCGGAAAAAAAATAAAGTCCTTTTGAAGGGAACTTCCTCAATTTTGTGTATTATTGTTCTTTGAAAGTTAAGTATTCTACAAAAAAAAAAAAAAAACTCCATTGATTTTCACCCGTGGTTCATACCAGAGACCTGAGAATGTTTGTAAATGTACAAGTATCAAACTTCTTACAGATAACTGCAACTTGCTGCTGGACACTTGTCTACAGAGTCAAAGGCAGGTCTACCTGAGACCTGGATTCTTTTTTAATGGAATGAACCATTTTCCTCTTCTGAAAATTCTGTATCTGAGCACATCAAGAGACTCTTATAGCAGTGGTTACCCAGACTAACAGAATTATGTCCTCCTGAAACCAGCAAGAACACTTGGAAATGAAAATGTAGGGGGCATAGAGGATTTTGAAAACAATAAAAAAGAAAGAGTAATATTCTGTTACATTCACTTTTAAACTCTCTAATTGTGAGGTTTCTCCGATGGTTTTTTTCACACACTTTCCAAAAGACCAACAAATGGATGTTGACAACTACCCAGTGAAATAGCATTCTGCAAATCTGAAAAGAAGCATTGACTATAAGCCAAAAGGTTTCACGGAAGGTCTTTTTTTTTTTTTTTTCTTGAGAATAAAAAAAAAATATATATAAATGTAACATGTTTTCATTCCAAACTGGTAGTGGTATATAGAATTAAAGATAATAATGTTGCTTCTTATTCAAGCTGTTGGTCATATGTACAGTATATAAACATAAAACACACAAGGAAGGTATTATGTATGCAGTAGTATACTAGAGTTTAGGAAAATGAAAATTTTAGAAAATATGTTTTGTCACCCTGTTGGTCAGAAAGACGTCTTTCTGGTTTTAACGCATGCAGGCATGTAAATATTTGTCTGGAGTCACAGTATTAATGAATGAGATCCCAAGCATCTGGTGACATCGGAACTCTGTGTCGGCCACTTTTATTTGTATATTGAACCCTAGTTAGTGCCCCCCAACAGCACTATTGATAACGGATTGTGGCTAAACAGTAAATCAAAACACCAGAAATATTTTTATATGTTAATGTCATATTATGTTAATGTTGCTGAAAATGAAACCTAACAAACCCTTGATGTACCAGTCCAATATCATGTAGCACTGAGTGAAAAATAAAGTTAAAATGTGTTGTTCTTCCCACCCTGGTCAGAGGGAAGGGTGGCTACGTGTTATTTTCACTGTCTTTTTGAGAGTTACAGTCTGTGTTTTCACTTTTGTGCAGATAACTGGAAGTAAAGCCGCAAACAGTGCTTATTATACACTAAAGTTACCTTCTCTTTGTTTTTACATGTCTGGAGTTAACACCTTTAAAGACTGATGTGAATCAGTACAGTGACTGTACCTTTTGTGATTTTTTTCTGTCATCTTCCAAGTTTATGACCATAACATTATTTATTACCATAAAACAGCAAAATCTTCAGTGTCTAAGAAAGCTAGCTTAAAATGCTTAAAGATAGTTCCAATTGGGGATTAATTATTTGGTTAAGAAAAAAAAAATAACATAGATATTCCTAGCACTAAGCTTCTATACCTTTTAGGTCTTCCTCTCAATACTGGAACATAATTCTTTTGTGTAGCTCACTATTAACCAGCTAAGTCCATTTTTAATTAAAAGGTTAAATGTACAATTCCTCTTTTAGCTTGCTTTCAAAGGGAGCACTATTTTTATTTAAAGTATTGTTAGTAATGGCTTTGTAGAAACTTGGTTTCCTAAGTAGAGTTTTTACATAGCCATCTTTTGTTGTTTGAGCACAGGAGAGTCTATTCCCTCGTTATGTGCTTTTTCTCCCTTGTATGCAGTCTTTAAAGGATTTCAACATTTAAAATTGGATGGACTTGTGGCAAGCATTGGAATCATACATTTTTTGAAAGATTTTTTAAAAAGCCTACACCGTACATATGTAGTAGAATCAGCCATTGCTCTGCTCCTGGCATAGAGTCACCTGTTAAGTGGGTTAAATAGTTTTAAAATACATCCTTTCAAGAACCTTGAGAATGCTTTAGTGTTTGGTTTGACATGAAAGGAAATTTTAGCAAGTATTAAAGACAAAAAGCTATCAGCTGTATGTTAAGAGAGACGCTTACTAACATGTTGTAAATATTACAATTCATGAAATGTTATTGTTAAGTCTATAACTTAATTTTTCTCCCTTTTTTTAGTTATACAGGTTGGTTTGGAAATTTGTGTTTTGGCCTAAGCAAGTAAAATTGTGCCCATTTTATGGTTTCCATGCTTTTATAATCCTAAAAATTATTCATGTCTCTAGTTGTTCTATATTATAACCACATTTGCGCTCTATGCAAGCCCTTGGAACAGAACATACTCATCTTCATGTAGGACCTATGAAAATTGTCTATTTTTATCTATATATTTAAAGTTTTCTAAAAATGATAAAAGGTTATTACGAATTTTGTTGTACAAAATCTGTACAAAAATCTGTTTTTACATCATAATGCAAGAATTGGAAATTTTTCTATGGTAGCCTAGTTATTTGAGCCTGGTTTCAATGTGAGAACCACGTTTACTGTTATTGTATTTAATTTTCTTTTTCTTTTCAACAATCTCCTAATAAAACTGTCTGAAATCTCCCTGTGACTTTATTTACAGTTTGTCTTTATTAAATTTTGTGAAACGCGTAGCATTGAAGGGATATTTACTTTCTAATGGGAGGCATCTAAAAACAACGTAAGTCAGCTCTTTGCAATGCAAGGGGAACAATGCTCGATGATTTTACTTAACATGCAACTGCTTCTTTCTCTAATATGAATTACTGTGGTGAAAAACATCATAAAAGCACACTCTGTAGTTATTGTTTAACAAGCAGATTTTCCATATTTTGTTTCTTGCCAGCTAAGCAAACTGCCCACATATACATGATTTATTTATGTACATTTCCCAGTTTATGAAGCTGTTATTTGTACCTTTTTCCTTTATATTCTTATATTCCCATGATTCTTATTTCACAAAGCTTTGTGCTGAATAATGTAAAGTAGACACATTGATGGAACTAAATATATTATTCCCATATCTATGAGAGTGTAGATATGTAATGCAAACTTAGTGTTTTGCTTCTGATCTCTATCATTGGAAAAAATGCCATCAGAAACTTTGAACTTACAGCATCCTTTACTAATACATAAATATTTTAATCACTCAAGAAATGCAGCATTTGAAGAAATCCTGGGCTGCTGTCTCTCTGAATATTCTGAACGGCCCCAAGAGAATGGAAAATGAATGTTTTCTGTCCTAGGAAATTATTTTAATGAATTCTTGAAATAGTATATTAATGGTTTAATGAAAGGTTTCCTAATGAAACCTAAGCAGTTTATGTGACCATTACAAATGCAGTTTTGTCTTCTGTCATCATCAGTTTATGTCGATAAGCCATATATTAGAACATCGTACAGTCTCCGAATATTAGTGGAAGTCAGTGAGAATGTAGGGTTTTCCCCGTGTGTTTTCATTGGGACTAGCAAATTTAAAATTTTCACAAAAAAAAAACATTGGTTACTAAAGGAGAGTATCTTTAAAAAGTTCTATGAATTGCGGTTTTTAAATATGGGAAATAGGGATGTTAGTAGAATCACAGCATTGTTGTAAATGGCACTGGACAAGTATCACTTTTCCTCACACGCAGGTTGGTGCTAATGTTTACCTTTAATGTGTACAACTGATACACAAAAGCTGAAGTGATCCTCATTTATTCAGAGAAGCCAATGCGTGAATAAAGCGTCTCTTCTGCACAAAGCATTGCAGTAGAGCGTGTCATGACTAAACTTAAAAACATACTTGTTGTCCCCAAGGAGCTTGTGCTTTGGTTGAAATAGAGAATCTGACTTCTAAGAGTATAGTTGTATAATACGTTATCACTCACCATGTACACATGTGTGTGTGATGGTTTAAAATCATTGAAACACATAAATTCCTAAACGCCAACTGAGCGACTGAGGTGAGGAGTGGCACTTTTAGTAGTAGCATCGTTTACATTTAGAAATTGATGAGCTGGAGATTTTGAGTTGTATAGGATCAGTTAGGGGTCCTCTGGTTGCATGTAACAAGAACAAATCTCTGCAGGGTGAAAGAGTGTGTGGAACTGGTGATAAGGACAGAAGGCTACACGGGCACCCCACGACGGGAACACAGTCAGCCCTCGGTTCAGAGACCCTCTTCTACTTCAGCTTTTCTCCTACTGTCAGCGACTCCGCTGCTTTTTGCTTTTGCTGCAGACACATTTGCTTCTCTTGTTCATTTCTTGACTCCTCTCTAATTCAGGAGCAAAAGGCCCAGCCCACAGAAGTGAACAAATCACTCTCTCTCCTTCATCCTAAGTCTGATTCCCTGAGAGTTCCAATTGCCTCAGGTTAGAGCACATGCCAGCACGTGAAGGCCACCATACATTAGATGAGTTTAGGGAATTTTAGAAACTATTGTGTCTAATTAAATTGGAATCTCTGGGGTTGAGGCGATGGCATCAGGACTTTTTAAGTTCTTCAGGTGATTCTATTAAGCTAACTTTGAGGACCACTGTCTGGGAGGATGGGTAAGTATCACAGTACAGAAAACAATTACTGGGGCTTCTGCTGTGGGGCAAGGATATACCTGGGGTACATGAAGGGGCATTGTAAGCTGAGCAGTTGGTATAAAAGCTGACTAAGAGTTCTGAAAAATCAGTTAAATATTTTTGAACAGCAAATTTTAGCAGTGTGAACTTAATTCTGAATTGAATAAAAATTTGCAATAAGAGTGTAATGATTTTTTTTTAATGAAGTTATTGATAAATCTGACCTCAGTACCAATTTCCTAGGGAGATAAAAATTCTGTCTTGGTCATTATTGACATTTCTCTCCCTCTGAATGTTCTGAATGTTTTCCTCAGTTGATAGCATTTAGGGACAACCTTGGATTTGTTATGCGTGGGATCTGGCCTCAGAGGAGTGGCCATAAACTGTGTCCTCAGAGACTCTCATGGTTTGCAGAGCAAAAATTACAGTATGCTTTGATTATGCAGACAGAGGATTTCAGACAATTATAATAATATATAGAAGTATAAAGCCAGGTGAGAGGAGGTAATGCTTTTATACATTACTCATACTAATAAGATGGCAGTCTATGCAAGTAGACAGTGGTAAGTTTTACAAAGAGGTATAATCTAATACATACTGTGGCCCCTAAAAATACTATATTGATATACATATTCAACTATAGATAAAACAGAATTCAGTCTATAATGAAGTTAGCTTCGAATAAACAGTAAATAGGTTTGGTAATTGATCCAGAGCTACTGTGCTGGTAATTCCCAATTCTTTCCCAGGTATTTTGGCTGCTCAGTCATAATGGTAATGAATGACCAACTGTGTTTATTGCATTAGGCAAGAGAAGAGAGGTTGGTTGATGTGTCTTTGCAACTGTGCATCCCTGCTTTTTATTTATTGTGTGTACTCGCTTTCAGCAATATGGTTCAAGCTGATAATTTAAAACATAAGTGAGGACCTACATGGTAGCCAGTCATTAAAAGTTGTTAATTTAGAAAATCTCCTTATTGACTTCTACCATGAGTGTGGAAACTTGGCGAAAA